GTCTAGAATTTGACTTTAAAAACTGATAAACACGTGCATTTACAATCACCGAAACAATTAGTTTCTACATGATTGCACAAATTTACATATAATTCTAAATTAATTTGAAAGATTAACGATTCATTACACTCTGAATATCAAAATTTATAAAAAAAAGAATACAAATTATAAATAAATTAAATAAAAAGGCAAGAAAAACATCGATGCATTAGACAACGTTAATAGGAATAAATGTACTTGGAACCAAATAAACATTTACTTCCCAGAGCATTGAGTTTATTATCGTTTATTTACAAATTCACTTTATTAAACCTCAAAAGTAATTTTTTTATTTATTTTATAAACATTTAAAAATTAGCTTTCCAAACGAATAAATTTTTCCAAGGTAAATTATTCAACACCATAAGAAGGTTAAGATATATAATTGTTGTTTGTATTACATACTGTTTACATATGTACATACACATTAAAAATATAATTTATTTATTTGCGTTGCATTGTTTGGATGCACTCCTTAAATATATCATGTTGTTAACCCAAAAAGGATGAAAAGAAAATAACTCTGCTATGAAGATGATTCATAAGTTCCAACACATATCACAACAATTATGCGAGTACTTATGAGAGTATATACACACATTAGTAGAATATTTCAATCTTGAAAACTCCGTCAAATATCGAACTACCCCTGCTCTGCAGTTTTGATAGAATTTACAATTATAAGTGTTATTAATGTTACTATACTTTCTCTAATTCAATTTAGTAATACTTAATTTCTAGACTTCAGTAAAAGTCACGAAATAAAGTATTTCACCCCACTAAAACCGAAAATCATAATGAAAAAATCGTACCAAATAGTTTTCGAGACAGTTTTTGCATTTTTCCTTTAAAATGTCAGTGTAAATTCATAGATCCACTTATGCTAAACTGATTTTTATACCAAAACCTATAATTTTATATATATAATCCAAAAGAAGGAAAAAATATATAAATATAGTCAATTTCATTAAGAAAAGCCACTGAAGATAAAAAATAACTGTTTCTATCCTTCTTTACTGGAATTCAATACATCAATATATATTCTACACATATCAAATAATTTTGAGATTAACACCCTGGGTAACTAAAATTTTGAATAAATTTTACTGTTACATTAAACCTAACTTGATCTTTTAGTTTATCATGTAAATAGCCTTAGATATAGAACATATGAAGTCATATATAATGTAAATCAATTGCACGATAAAAATTAAGTGTAATTAAATATTTATTAAATTGAATTTTACCTTTCGTTTTGGCAAAGGAAACTAATTTCTTAATATAAACTATTGTTTTCAATAGAGATGTATTTCGAATAGTATTAAATTACAACAATAAAATTTTATTATTTTATTAATTGAATTTTTGGCTGACCATAAATCAAATATGAGATTAATTATCAGATGTGTTTTAATTCACAGTTTACTCTGTAGTCCAATATGTCCCAACTGGTTTTGTATGTCCAAATAAATGCTCTAACCCCTTACTATCCTTCGGAAAAATTGAACCAATTATGGGAACATTTGTCCTTTTTCAAACGTCAAACATTTTTTTATTTTGTTTGTACAATCTTCTGAAGAAACCACAAACCATAATTATACTCTTCACCTACCCTATAAATAATTATTTCTTTTGCTCACGCACTTTATGTGGAGAAATTACTACTTAGTGTATAAAGTTCGTATACAAAAACAGATCCTTGTCACCATTGTCCCAACAACGTCAATAAAAATTGTTTTTTATATTTTCCCCTTGTCAACGTACACGTATGCTTCAGTTTGAGAAACACTGTAAAATTCCTAGCTATCTAAATAATAATCTTGACATCATATAATATATAAGAAAGAAAACTATTATTCTAAGATTTCATTCATATCTATATAATTTATTTTTATTTTATGTCTACATACCTATAATTTAATTCATTTTTTAGAGGCTATTTATACGTTAAAAATTTATTTCCACCAAATGTTTAGCAATTTTTTTAGTAATAATATAACATAATAATATATAATATAAATTTGACAAAATTAAATTTGTTATCTAAAAACTCTCTAAAAATGTTTGGTTTAATTAGAAGTTACTAGATTTTATTGTAGTTTAGCAACTAAAGTCATGTTATATAAATTAGGTATAAAACCTATTGTACCTACAAATAAAGGATGGTCTATTAAGTATTAAACTAATAATTAAAAATCCCATTTAAAAAACTGTGTCCATTGATATTTGCCAAATATTTTTTAATAAAATAGATATCAATTTTAAATAATTTGAAATTTTCTCTTAAACATTTACCATAAATTCCCATTCTATAAGGAGTAAGTTCAACAGAGTGTAGACTTACTAACTCAGAGGGATAAAAAACAACTGTTTTAAACTTTTGGACCTGTAACATATGCTTAGTTAATTCAAGTTCTCAATATTTATCCAACAAGAATTGATATTGAATTATTCGATTGTTCTGATTTCCAATTATATTTTTTTTGTTTCTGAAATTGTTATTAACTCTTTCAGACAACTTCAATGGACGTCAATTTAAAATTTAATTTGCTTTGACACTGGAACAATTTTAATTGTGTGATATTTTTTGGTTGTAAAAGTATTATTACAATACTGAGATTATAATTATATGTGTAATTAAATAGTTAAATGGAAGAATAAATATAGAAAAAAAATATATTTTAGCACAAAAAAAACATTTGTCACAAGTTTAAATTGCAAGTGTAATTATGACTGAGAATTTGATATCTGATATTAACTGAAAATGAAACAGATGCAAAACCTGGCAGCAATTAAATTCTAATGTAAGCATATTAAATTGCTATCTACATTACAAAATAGAAAAATAGAAATAGAAAAATAAATAGTAAGCCAAAAGAAACTTACCTTCAGTATGTCCTAGCTCACACCAGCAGTGATCATTTATGAACTGTGCTCCCAGACAATATTTCATAACAGTTTTTGTACAGGAAACGGACTTGCATGAAGAACCTTAAATTGAAAAAGAAAACGTTTTAGATCTTCAAATTTTTTCTGGAAAGAAAAACAGATAATTAAAATAAAAAAATAAAAATACGATTCTCTATGTTATAACCGGACTTTAACGGTAACCTAGTTTGAACAAAACATTTAAAAACAAAACCCTGAACCTAATGACAGTATAAGAATCGAATATGCAAGTGACACTTGGAAGAAGTGTTCTTGAAGAGCACTGACTTTATGTGAAGAGTTTTAACATCTGACAGAATTCAATATAAATTACTGGTTACCACTCTATGTCACTTGTAAGAACAAAGCATGTTCCTTGTATGCTTCCAAGTCACCAAAATTTCTTGATTCTTGACAGTTTTAAAATAATTAAAGGTTTTTACTATAATAACCAACATTTATTATTTTACTAGAAATCAATTCAATCAATCAATCGATGATTTAAGTTTAAGTAACAGATATTTTTAGCATTTAAAATAACGTCTGATTTATGAACTTCCAACAAAAAAAGAAGAAACATTGTTAGTCTCTGAAGAAAAAAGTTGCAATTTGATTTCAATATCACTGTAATATTTAATAAACGTTTATAAACATTATAGTTATTACTAACATTATTTATCTATGATAATATATTTTATTCTAAAAAAGTAATTAACAGTTTTTAATTGAAAGGTTAGTTTAAATTATAGAAGGTGTAGAGGTATAGAAGGCACCAGACCGTGTCTTCGATGGAGTAATCAAGTTAAGGAAGCACTAAGTGAATTTGATGTACGAGATTGAAGAAGACGAGACAACCCGGTAACAGGTTGTTATTGCCAAACAAGTATTATATTATTTATTTCAAAAATATATATAAAATATATGTGTATGCAAGACATATGTATGTACTTATATACAATATATACAACAATAATAATCGTATCATGAAATCAATTAAATTTGATTTTGTCGAATGTAATCAGAAATATATTGAATATCATTCTTAGAAACTCAAGTTCTAATAAATATAGGTAATATAATATGGTACTGTTTTTATAAGCAAACATGTACAGCTGTGATATATAATTTAGTGAGAAGAGTAGAAACTTACATTGACTGTATCGTCGATTTGACGAAAGGAATCAAGTTAAGTATATTACTTAAATAAAAAAAGAAAATAGACATTATCATATAAATGTAGGATAAGGATAATGATTGCAGTTATAAAAATGTTAAAAAGATTTTTCAATGCAATATGAAAGAGGGATGGCTATTATATCTCTTTATGTATATATATAAATATGATAAAGAAGCATGTATTCTTCTTTTCTTCTTCTTAATGTAAAGATATTAGTATTTTTATAGATATATTAAAATATGATAAACAAGTAGAAAATTTTTTTCACTTCTCTCTCTGTTTCTCTCTCTCTCTGTTTCTCTCTCTCTCTCTCGAATTTATTGTTAATTAATCGAATTATTATTGCATGAAATTACAGTATTTGATCATATACAATACAATATGGAGAATGCTATACGAGAGACATAAAGATAATTTAGCAAAGGAGGTTATGGTAGATTTATAAAGTGTTAAACTGCATGAGAACTATATAGTAGGTGTGAACTATTACCGTCGATTGACTACCGGCCGTATTGTATGGTGAAAATAGCTAAAAATTGATATTTAAATTATATCTTACTATTATTTATTTAATACGGACCTTTCCATGTCGTGAATTTAAATGTCTTTACTATACTAAAGGTGGTATGTCTTATCATTCTAAAAACTTAGACCTAAAATTTGATAACCAAAATCTTGTTATTGTAAGATACATTAAGTACTTACAATAACTGATAGTTGCATAAAGTTTTTCAAAACTTATCAAGTTTTTTCTGTAATCATATATTATTATATGTAATCAAGATCAAAAAATAATAGTCTAATAATCTATATAATTATTTCCAGTGACAAAATTCCATAATATTTATAATATTTTAAGAACACTTTCGTACTATACATTAATAACATTTGACGCATATACTACTATGTCATCAGTTAATGCATAGTATTACTCAGAGCAATTTATTTGATAAATTTTCAATTACAGTATCGGAATTTTATCAGAATAAATATCGAAATCGAGTAAATATAAAGATTTATTTCAGTAAAGTCTCGAAACATTCGTTGACCGTTAAACAAACAAAATTTTTAGAACTACTGAGTATATTTTAATTAAATAATAGCAAATAGTTAAATAATAGAAATTTGTTGAAACTTCAAGGTATATTTTTATAATAATTTTGTTTTTTAACGGGCAAATTGGTCCACATAATACACTTTTTAAAAAATGGTTTGATTTTTAAAGGATTTTATGTGAACCGATATTTCGACTATATTCTATAATCGTCATCAAAATTAAAATAAAATTATTATTAAAAAATATTTGGCCATTAAAACAATAAATTATTTAAAAAACGGAGGTATACTGTTATCAAATAACAGTAATAAAAAAAAAATTGCAAGCCTCTTTTATTTGCTTAAATGCAAATTTTTTTAATTATTTTTAATGATTTGCTCAACTTATGGAGTACTATCGGATATGTTAATATCCCTCAAGTTTAATATTTAGCTATAAATAGCTAAACTACTTACTGATGTAACATACTGATTAACAGGTTGTTGAAGAAATATTTATTATAGATCAGAGATATAGCTATGTTTCATATTCGGAAGAATATCGAAAAGTGTTCAGCTTTATTTAAATCCTTCATTCATAAAAAATAAAAAATAAAGAATAATAAAAACATCAGTTATACTTAAATATTTTATTTATACATAAATTAAATTGTTAAAAGTAAGAAATAAATATCTTAATTCACAAATACTTCATATGTCGATCGTTTGAATAAAATAGTATAGAATTCGTATTTAAACAAATAAAAAAGCTTATAAAATTTATGTCTTCTTGTTATTTATTTCAAATATACTCAGCAGTTGTACCAAATATTACTTGTAAGTTGTTTTATGAAGCATATATTTCGAAAACCCACCAAAAAATAAATACGTACTTTATACTCGATTTAATTATTAATAATAATATTTATTCAAAAAAAAAAATTTAACGAAGTATTTAACATTTGGAAATTGATATGTGCGCAAAATTAATAATAATACTTGTTAAAAATTATATCAATACTTGCAATGCACACTTAAGTTCTGCTTCAATTTAAAAATATATGTATTAAATCTACTATATACGAGTATTATATTTCTGATTCTATGCTGTAAGTTTAACTAAACTCAAGTAGTTAAATATTTAATTGAAAATTATAATTACAGAAAAATTAGTCACTTACCGTGATCGAAGCTATTATTAAACATCTTTAATGCGCTGATCGCATCTTGTCGAGTAACTTGGTGCTCAAATCGGAACTCTTCAAAATTACTTCCCCCAGGATCTTTGGCTTCCAAATCTTTTTTATCACAGAGTATACAGGACTGGGGTGCTGCATGCACACCACCCGGTAGATTTATTAAGCAATTAAAATAAAACAATATCAAAGCGATTTTAATAAATGGCACAAAACGACAAAATCTTGCAAAATTTAAGGTGTGCCGCGCGACTAAAGTTGCTTGTGCAGTTTTCGAGGAATGGAAATTCTTCAAAATCATACGCCGGTAACCGGGTTGAAACTGATAATTCTGATCGCTCTGTGAAGATGCATTCTTCACACTCGATCGATTCGACGCTGCCAACTGCGGCGGCTGACAGCAGCGATTAGCACGAAGATAATTCAGCGGGGCTGCTGCATTGTTGCTCTTATCAGTTTGTGAATACATTTTTTAATATTTTTAATTGTTGTTGTCATTCTAATAAAATTGTAGTCGTTTTTTTTAATCGTTGTTTTGTTTGTTGAATTTCGTTACTGAAATTTAATATATTTTTTACAGGGAATGTAAAAATTAAACAGCAAAAAATTCATTATAATGCAAACGTTAGATTGTTATGCTACATTATTAGACTACAATCATGGTCGTTTTTTGTTTCTATATCAATCATATTAATTTTTAATTTTAATTTAATAATAATTTAAACAATTGTTAAAACATTGACAGCGAACAGGAAATATAGGAAATGCATTTGCAATTTAATTATTTTAATTTTTTTAAATTAGATATAATTAACCATAAATTAAAGTCACATCTATCAAACACTTTTTATATTTTAATCAAGATGTAACAGATTTAAAAAAAACCGACTCTATAAATCACAGCCGATGATTTTTTCCGTTTTTTTTTGTTTTAGTAATTTATTAATATATTTTATCACTTTCGGTGCGGCAGATGCTTAGTAATAAATTTACATTCACTAAATTCGAATGTTTCGAATGTTTCATTCAAAATAAAACGTTTTAGTCGCACGATTTTTTTAAATACAAATAATTTCGCAATCGTTTAAAGGTTTTCTCGCGTACAAAAATGATCGCACATCCGCATCCGCTCAAATGCAAATTTGTTCTGAAACGTTATTTTAACCGCTGCCAATGTAATGCCAAAGATAATGTATAGTTTTTTTAACATTTTATTTCATTATGGGCGAAGCACTGAGTGTCGGTGAGCGCAGTGGAACAGCTGTTCCACTGTGGCGCTCGCAGAACTTTGAAGTTTATTTACTCGGTGTGTGCCGACCCGATGTTGTGGGTCGGCGGTGGGTCTGCTTTGTGTGCAGTTAATAAAAGAGAGTGTTGAACGCTTTCGAAGAGCAACGATCAATCGCATTCAATTTTGTTAGACATTTAAGTATTGAAGATTGGAAAAACAAAAAAATAAAATTTCAATATCAATAAAAACGAAGGTATAAAGTTGTGTTGATTGTGGAAAATAATTAAATGGGTTTAAAGGGTGCTTATTAAAAACAACTTAATTTAAAAAAAATATTTGAATTTAAAAATTACACCTAAATTTATTTAAATAAATTTTTAAAAAAATAAATAATATATTTTATATATGTAATATTTAATATAATATATAAAAGTTTATATTAGTTAATTTATAATTAAAAAAAATATTTAATTTCAAAAATTTTTAATTAAAAATAAAATTTTTTAAATTAGTTTTTAAAAATATATGAAATAAAATATTTTAATAATATTTTATATATAATATTTAATAAAATATATAATAGTTTATATTAGTTTATAGAATATTATTGTATTATTATATTATATATATTATATATACTTAAAAAAATATATAGCGGACTTTTGTGGCTTGTATTAACTCTTAGAGTTTTTTTTTAATTGAATAAAAAGCACAGCGCTATATATATATAAAAAAACTCTCTTTTATTACGTTTAAAAGAACTAATCAGAAGTTCATCAGAAGAATTTATTCCCTACTTTTCGGTAGAAGCGTATATCTAACTCCAATTTTTCTAATGTCAATACGTTTAATGCTAATGCTACATATATAATATTTAATATAATATATATAATAGTTTATAGAAGGGTTTTCGAATAACAAAGAAAGAAATAAAGGACAAACACAAAAATTTATTTTTAATTTTATTGAAATTTGGCTGACCACACAACGCTGTTTCGAGTATTGCCAAGTACTCTTCATCAGTGGTCTTTGGGAATAATCGAATATTATTTAATTAGTTTATAGTCCGTATACAATTTGTTTGGACTGCAAGTGCCAGGCTTAGAACTCGTGCCTGTCAAATTAGAAGCGATGACTAATCGTGTTTATCCACAAGAAGCCAAGGCTGCACAAACTTTCAATGCTCAAGTTCCAGGTTTTATTGTCACTTATTTTTATTTAATTAGTGACAACAACCAACGCACTTGCCGTGCTTTTTAAATAAGAACGAGCTTATAAACTTCAGCTTTATTTTTAGAAACACAAGTTCAGCGAATTGAAAGTTTAACTTTTGGGTTTTGCCTATTTCTTTATTTCTTTTCAAAGCTACTCTTTTTGTAGAGACATTTTGTAATGCATATTGTTTTACTTACTATATGTAAAGCGACCATTTTGGTGCTTTTTACAAAGAAGCTATGCTATGTTATTCTACAAATCCGCTTTCGCGGTTAGGAAAAGTTGAACAATATTATATTTTAACATATTGTTCTTTACTTTTCACAAGTCTAATATTTGAATAAAGTATTAGTGTTACTATAAAGCTACGCTTTCTTTGTATGGGGACAAAGAAGCTTTATTAAAATTTAGAGGGTTTTCGAATAACAAAGAAAGAAATAAAGGACAAACACAAAAATTTATTTTTAATTTTATTGAAGTTTGGCTGACCATACAACGCTGTTTCGAGTATTACCAAGTACTCTTCATCAGTGGTCTTTGGGAATAATCGAATATTATTTAATTAGCTTATAGTCCGTATATAATTTGTTTGGACTGCAAGTGCCAGGCTTAGAACTCGTGCCTGTCAAATTAGAAGCGATGACTAATCGTGTTTATCCACAAGAAGCCAAACCCAAAAAGTTAAACTTTCAATTCGTTGAACTTGTGTTTCCAAAATAAAGCTGTAGTTTATAAGCTCGTTCTAATTTAAAGCACGGCAAGTGCTTTGGTTGTTAACACTAATTAAATAAAAATAAGTGAGAATAAAACCTGGAACTTGAGCATTGAAAGTTTGTGCAGCCTTGGCTTCTTGTGGATAAACACGATTAGTCATCGCTTCTAATTTGACAGGCACG